CAGCAGTTTGATCTGCAGTTCCACGTTTGCACACATACCACGGAGACGTAAAAAAAAAATCCGATGGGATGCAGACGGGTGCCGGATGCAATGGGATACCAGCGCTTCTGCGATCGATGCCCTCCCACACTGCACGTTTTCCGAAAAATACTGCACTTTCCCAGGTATCTTTACTCCGCATCTTCTGGGGGGCGATACAGGTTGCCGATGGGTGTGGCACACTTGCCAGATGTTCCCATGTGATCGCGACTGTAAAATTCGCCCAGCATTCGTTCCTGTCGCACGGTTAATTCTGCATGTGATTGGGACCTTTATATTTCAAACCAGCAAACTGTAGTTTGATAACAACAGTACTTGTGTTGAGCATGGAATTTCTCCAGAACTGATGGCCATTTGATTGTGCTTGATGCCCTGAAAAACTGATACTAAGCTTTCTGGGAAACCACAGCTTGTCTAAAACCAACTTTCTTTCATCAACTAATATTATTTTCATGTTGGTTTATGGTAGAATAGACCTTGTTATTCAAAGTGTTTCTTCTTCATTGACATGACTTTCAGGAAATGTAAAGTTCCAGAATTTGCACCCTCATCATCTACCATGTTACTAGATTGATGGATCATCTTTACATTTGAGCTGCAGTTTTAGAAAGAAAACTACATCACCTTTGTCAGTTGGCATAACTGGGATAATACGCCACCCAGGGAGTGAAATTCTTCCCATGTACAAAGTAGAGATATATGAGCCCCCTTGAGAAATTTTATTTATCAGATTGAACAGCTTCTAATTTTTTTTTAAGTCCCCGAAGAGATATTTTTATTTTTGCAATAAACTACAAAACTACAAAGAAAATATTAGGGAGGGAACTACATCTAGGGATAAAGAATAGATAACCACACTATACTAAAACCCCAAGAGGAGGAGATCTTATCCCTGTTAGTGTAAGTGTTAATACTATAAGTGTTAGTATCACAATATACTTGTAGAGTTCTTGTTTATCTCAGCTTCAATCTTTATATGTTAATGTGTTAGTTGTTATGAGAGAACTTTCTGATCATCTTCTTGTTCTTCGCTTCAAAAGGCTATTATCCGAGTCCTTCTGCCTTTACTTTGGCTTTCTGTCTCTAAAGTCATACACAACTCTGGCAGCCCCGTTTCTGCAGCAGAGTTCCCGAGGTGGCAGAGTCACTAGATTTCATTTCCTCCTCCTTGGACTCTTCCTCCGTTCCCAACTGGTGCCGCAAATATTCTTTAGCTTTGAAAGTGGAGTCTATCTTCTCTCTTTTATCGTTGATCTTAAAGATGACACCCTCTGGAGTCGCCCACCTATACGAAATTCCATTGGTTTGAAGGAAAGAAATTAAGTCCTTATAATTTTTCCTCTTTTTTCAGATTTCAAATGGAATATCTTTTAAGGTTTTGATGGTTATATTTCCCATTTTTAGTGGAGTTGCTGATGTCGCTTTTAAGATAGCATCTCTGGTCTGTCCTCTTGAGAATCTGACCACTATTTCTCCAGGCAGGCTATTTTTTTAAATATAATTGGAGTATGCCCTATAGGCCATCTCCATTTCTTTTACCAGCTTATCTGCTGTTAAGCCTATTGCTGGAGCGATGAGCAACCTCCTCGCTGAGCAACCTCCTCAGGTCCTTCTCCGCTTCAGGAACTCCCTGGAACCTGAGAATCATGTTAGCTTTTTCCATCTGTAGTTGTAGCAAATGGCTTTCTTGGAAGTTTTGCTTTGTTTCAACTTCTCCCATTCTTTTCTTCAATTTCTTACTTGTGGTGTCTATCTCTTTAATTGTCTCAGCTGCCTGCTCCACTTTCTTCTCCGTTTCTTTCAGCTGGAGCTGCTGAGATGCAAAGTTCTTATTAATCACAGTCAATTGCTGGTTAATACCATCGAGTTGCTCCATCACCGGCTTGAGCATGTCCGCTAGCATTTTAATGACGTCTGCTCCCTCTTCCGGTTTTGGGCTCTGGCTGCCCGGCGGTTTCGTTTTCAGCTTTATTTGCTGGGCCGCCATTTTTTCTGATTTGTTTACAGTTTCTACCGCTTCTCCCCGGCTCAAAAAATCACCCCACAATGTCGGTATTCAAGTAAGTCTCTCAAAACACACTTGTTGTGTTTCCTCCCCTCTCCCCCTTAGTGTCGTTTATCAGTTCATTCGCATAAGAGGCGTCCCTCTTTGCGGTCTGCTTTTGCCGGGGGGGGGGGAATTTGCTTTTACAATAATCCGGTTTATTCTGAACTCACATTCATTCAGTTTCTCTGACCTCGCTCACTTTAAACGCCATTCCACTCGATCTCCGGTGCTTGTCCCGGTCAAACCAGCTTGTGCCTGGAGGCCACACAGCGTTTGGACCGTCAGGGCAGAAGGGAGCCGCAATTCTCCGGCGCTCTGCTGTTGAAGAGGCTACCCCTCAAAAGCCCTCTGGCCTGGAGCCTGTTGCAAAGGCTTCGTAGGGGTGTCACTTGAGGTGGCACCCCTCCGAACCGCTGGTGTACGGATTGCTCTCCCGCGGTTCACGGAGAACGTCCGCCATCGCTGCTCCATAAACCGGAAGCTCCGAACAGCTTCTAAATTTCTGAACAGGGACTTCACCTTTGGGGAAAAAATTCTGGCAACTTTATTAAAAGTTTCTCAAGCAAAACTACAGCTCATCTATGTCATATCACACTGTCATGTGCATATTTGCTTCAAAGGAGTGATGCTAGCATATGTCCATCCTTATCCTAAACATTGCAGAACTGGCTCATTCCCCAGTCTGAATTCAAATTTTCACCTGTTGATCTTGTCACAGAAATATCAATAAATAAATCCCTATCCATCTATATAGCACATCAAACCTAACACATCACATTGTTATTTAACTGTAGCAGGTCCCTGGATGATACCCCTGCTGATGGTCTTATCCTTGATTTGCTTCATCTAGGGCTTGTGCTGGAGGATCTGTTCCAGCTGACAGCAGCCTTAATGTAGCCCGGCAATAGCTTCCCTAGCTGCCTCACGAGATCTTTCCTCAAGGCTTTAGGGTACCACAATGACAATATTAAATCATGCCAGAATGCCATGTATTGCACTTCTGAAAAGATATTTGAAGGCATTCCTTGCATTTTCATCCATTTCCTATCATGCACATGGAAAAAAGTTCTTCTTGCAAGGGAACCTTCCCATCTATCTATGCTTTGCCTTCCTTGGTTTGGTAGAGACTACCTTCTAGTAGTCACATTCATCGAAATGACATAGGATGACATCTGTACTGTCCCCAAGAAAATATTTAGAAAGGTTATATACATTTTTTTCACTTAAGAGAAGAAAAACAGAATATTCTAATCACGCACTCTGAAGAACGTATGATAGGAAGTCAGCTATAAACTCAACAACATTGGCCATATCACGGGCGCATGAACCAACAAACCTACTCACAGCCCTCTTAATCCTTCCTAACTTGCCATGCAGTAAAAACAGAAGCCTAGGTAGCCCAGGCTAGCCTGATCTCATCAGATCTTGGAAGCCCTGGTTAGTATTTGGAATGGAGACCACCAGGAAAGTCTAGGGCTGCTATGCAACGGCATGCACTGGCAAACCAACTCTTGCCTTGAAAACCCTATGGGGTCGCCAGCAAATCGATGGCAAAAAAGGGGTGGGGCAGAATCCATTAAAGTTTAGAAAGGATTTCTCCTGTAATTCAAACTGTCTGCTCTATATTGACCATTAAATTTGAAAACATCAAACCAGATTCCCCCCCCCCCAATACCTATACTTGTAAGGTTGATTCTCTTTGCAGTTTCTACTGAAACAGGATGTCAGATGGCACCATGTTAATGCTCCAGTGACCTCTGGTGGAAAATGTGATATTGTAGGGCATTTTCTTGCCTTGCGGGACTTAGTTTTGCGATGACTTATAAAATCACATGTAAAGAGAATATTCTACAGTAATTATCACCTGTATTACATGTTTATGAGGCATATTTTTTTTCCAAATATATTTTTTATTGTTTTAATATAACACAAAAATAACTGAAACATCAGGAAGTTGTACAGCTTCAAGTAAAACAAACAAAGGAATAGGATACATCCTAATACATCAAGATATACATCTATAAAATCCAAAAACACTGTTTAACCCATTATACCTTTGAAAACAGTTACAATATCCTTTAACCACACTCTGTAGGTGTTTATGAGGCATATATTGGAATCTTGGCTATGTGTTGGCAAGATATCTTCAAGAGCAGCTTAACCATATTAATCTCTAGAGCTTCATATAACTATGCATGAATCCTTCCTCCTTCAGTTTGACAAGTGGTATCTGTTGGTGCTTTGGGTTGTGTAGGGCCTTTTTCAACCACAACACTACAGATATAGAATACTCTCCTCCATGAGCCTCACCAGCTACCAATGTTCCCTCTAAGCTGAGTTAGTGTGAGCTAGCTCACACTAACTCAGCTTAGAGGGAACACTGCCAGCTATCTCTCTTTTATTTGTTTATATATCAGAGAGTATCTTATTTTCCAAGAGAATTCAGAGTGGCTAGCAACAAGCCAACTGAAATCAGGATAAAAAAAAATATTACAATGACAAGAAGGCATAGTATGCAGCTCAGTCTCCAGTTCAGAGAACAGCTACCCTCGATCAGTATTTTTCAGTCAAATGCTGCTCAGATTAATACAGATTTTCATGTTTTATGAAATGACAAAAGGGAGGGGGCCCTTCTGCTGGAATGTGATATTGAACTTGAAGCCATAACAGCAAAGGAATGAGCTCTCATGGAAGCTAAGTGGGCTGAAGGGACACCCAGGAGAGAAATATTATTGATCAAAGTCGTCAGGCAGGCAAATATATAAAGAGGCACTGTTTCAGCTGAGTCTCAGGCCATAAAGGTGTTTGTAGAAAAGAATTATCACTTTGAATGAAGCTTGGGAACAAATGGGCAGCCGATGGAGCTGCTTTAATGGGCTCACACCATGAGACTCTTGTCAAAATGTGGGCTGCTGTATTGTGCACCAAATGAAGTTTCTGAGATACTTTCAAGGGCAGCTCCACACAGAGTGTTTCGCAGTAGTCCAACTGATAGGGCACTTACCCTAGATTATCAATAACATGGTATAATATATGGGACATCTTAACAGTTCTGTGCAAGTTAATATATATTCATTGGTTTTATAAAAGCAACCCTCATACATATCAGAATAATATTTGTCTTTGTGTTCTTAGTGGGATAATGTAGGCTATGTATAAAAGTGGGATTTTTTTATATAGCAAATTTGCCAATTTCTCCTCATTACTTGATGTACTCTAATGCCGTTGGAGTGGGAGATGATGATATCCTGCTAACCGAGGACTTTATTAGTTTATCGGACAGGTCAATATTATTTGGAATGGCCTTTGAGGGCATGTTATTATCCTTCAAGCACTGAGTAGTTGTTTCTCTGGGTCAGAGGGGATCCTATGGAGTCACACAAGACAAGCCCATGCTGAAATTTCTCACAGGAACCTTTCTGTCTAATCATCAGACAGCATTTTATTATACTTAATTCCGATGATTATTAGTTCGATTGAAGGTGGGGTCTGCCTACACTTTTGGCTGCATAGGTCACAGGAACAAAGGGGTTCTGCTGATAACTAAGACACATAAGAGCTGTGGGAAATAGCAGTTTTACACCCCCCTTCAGAAACAAGTAGTAGAAGGAAATGCCTGGCAGAGCATCTTTATGCCACAGTTTTCCCCACTTGTAATACCAGGGGAGAGAAGAGGAGGAAGAGACGCAGAGCTGTTGTTTTCAGAAGCACTCATAATAATTTTGCCTGAGAATGTCCAGTTCATGATTGTGGATTGTGGTTTCAATTATTAAAAAGTTTTAAAATAAGTTCAGTTACAAAGCATATAGTCTACATCTAATACTTTTCTATTCCAATTCATAGAGCTATGTGAGAAAACTCATGAAGACAGAACAGTTATCTACTGGGAAGTAAATTTCCCTTTCCCCTTGTCAAACAGAGATGTATCTTTTCAAGGCTTGCATTGGGGTTTTACTATTAACATCTATTGGCTGCAAACCAAACACTTGTCCCAGTGCTTCACAGTATGCTTCTGGACATTTAAGTTATGCATAAATCAACCCTGAAGGGAAGAGAAACACGTAAGACGTTGGTGCATATTCTTTTGAGCCATGTTCTCTTTCAAAAAAGCAGAACAACAGATTAGTGTCAGTCTAAAACTGCAGGCTTCTTGAAACAGGAAAGGCTTTCTGTATCTTTATTAAAAGCATGTTATGGTTACATTATATATAACAGGGCTATTTTTGGGCAGGAACGCACAGGAATGGAGTTCCGGCTGGCTCCCGAGTTGGCCACACCCAGCAGGAACTCATTAGCATAATAGGCCACACCCAACAGCAGAAACTCATTAGGACTGGCTACATTAGGGGTGTGTGGCCAAAGCCTAACATGCAAAGGAGTTCCTGCTATAAAAAAGCCCTGGGTTTTTACAACAAACAAGGTAAACAGAATAAGAAGCAAAAGGTGGGTGTGGCTGGATGACCACACTTCTGGTAACATGGGGCCTAATGTGCTAATGAGCTGTGCTGTCAGGGGTGTGGCCTAATATGCTAATGAGTTTCTGCTGCTGGGTGTGGCCTGTTATGCTAATTAGTTCCTGCTGGGCTTTTTCTACAAAAAAAGCCCTGTATATATATATCATACATTATACATTGTATACATTAATATACATATATAGATAGATAGATAGATAGATAGATAGATATAGATAGATATTTCTGTATGCATATTTAAAATCCTGCTGATTTCTTAAACTTCAGTTCAGTATGTTTTTATTCGTGAACGTCGAGACCTAGAGATTGATGGGCGGAAGCTCCTCATTATATTGGCCAAAAGTGTGTCGACTTCTCAGTTCCCTGAAAAGTCTGGGGTCATCAGAGTAAGGAATTACAAACAAAGTATAGCCGTCGAAAGTGATGGCAGAAATGGGTCCAAAGGTAAGAAGCTGATAAATATCTGTAGGAACACCTACTTAGGGCAGCAGTGTTAAGTTTCTAAGGATGATGAAAAACCTCTTTGTCTTTATTTTATTAACAATTAAATAAAGTGTACATTGCTTGTAGGGTTGCCAGCTTTAACTGGTCCCTCTGGCCACCTCTTTAATACCTGTTTGATCTGCAGCAGATCCAGGTGATGTTATTTACCTACATGCAGCGATTAAAATGACAAGTTTGCCCTCCACTTCTACAGTGTTTTAAACCCCTTTCTGATTTCACCTGTACAGGGAAGGGAGTTTTCCAGACCTGCTGCAGTCTTGCACTTTTGTAGCCTTTGTGTAGGGATAATGCCCCATTAGCACAGAAATATCTAGGACTGAATTGCAAGCTGTTGTGTAAGCAAATGGAAAAGGGGGGAAATTTGTCAGGAGGACAAACAAATGCAGGTGCAGAAGTTGCTCAGAAATTCCATAAGTATCTACCCTACAGAAATCAAGAGTCTACTTCCACATATGCAAAGTTTTAAATACAGCACAAATACAGTCAAATACAGTAAAAAAGATTAGGAAACATAAATATATTCATATGGTGCCCCCCACATGGACATAAATGCTATTTTTAGTGATTTTAATTGGATTTCCCCCCCCCTGTCTTGTTTTTAAAGTTTACATGAGCTACTTTGATGATCCAGGTGGCATGGTTCCTCCATGGTTTGTGAATTGGATTGCAAAGGTAAGCTGGGCATTGAAATCTCCAGAGAGCCAGTACGGCATGTTGGGCCAATGGTCCCCTGTTGCAAACAGTGGCCAGAAGTAGCTACTGGAAGAGTACTGGCCTGACTGATAAGTCCAGTGGCACCTTTAAGACCAACAAAGTTTTATTCAAGGTATAAACTTTTGTGTGCAAACACACCTCTTCAGATACAGTTTTGCATTTGCACACAAAAGCTTATACCTTGAATAAAATTTTGATGGTGCCTCTGGACTCAAACTTTGTTCTGCTGCTTCAGACCAACACGGCTACCCACCTGAATCTGTCCTGACTGATATTCATAATGTCTTTATATCTGTTCTTCTCTCTGTGGCCAGTTGCTATTTTGCAAGAGTGATCCCACGATATAGTGGCATAGCAACCAATGTTCCCTCTAAGCTGTGGAGTCCTGTGAGCAAAAATTCAACTTTGTGAGCTACAATCATTAAAGTTGTGAGCAGGCAGGTGATTTGGCTACTGTATACAATTAGTTTGCCCTGGACTGGAGCCATCCTTCCTGAGCAAAGACAAAAATGTGTGAGCTGGAGGGTGAAAAACTGTGAGCTAGCTCACACTAACTCAGCTTAGAGGGAACACTGATAGCAACTATGTCCTTTTTGAGAATCTTACCTGCCCATTCTATTCCCTGACCTGAGAGTGCCTTTTGGACTTCTGCTGCAGTGTTTCTAATGACTGTTACCAGTAATATTTTCTTTCTGAGATCCTCAGTGAGAGCCAGTTTGGTGTAGTGGTTAAGTGTGCGGACTCTAATCTGGGAGAACCGGGTTTGATTCCCCACTCCTCCACTTGCAGCTGCTGGATGACCTTGGGCAAACCGTAGTTCTGTCAGAGCTGTTCTCTCAAGGACAGTTCTTGAAAGAGCTCTCTCAGCCTCACCTACCTCACAGGGTATCTGTTGTGGGGAGGGGAAGGGAAAGGAGATTGTAAGCCCCTCTGAGACTTGGAGTAAAGGGTGGGGTATAAATCCAATCTCTTCTTCTATGTAAGAATCATTCTGTTCTGGTTCAATTCTCCTACTTTTGTGTGAGAACAAATACGTTTGACCAGTAGATTTAGCTGTCATCCATGATTTTTTCTATTACATCGTATGTTTCTGTTTTCCTCCCAGTTAACAACCAGGCCCAGAGACTATTACAGAAATCTTAGGTTTAGAAGGGTGTAACTCTGCTTAGTATTGCACTGTGTACGGTAACTCTTTTTTGGTAAGTCCCTGGACTTGTCTTGTTTTCCCCTTAGCCACACAGCAGCTGTGAGGAATGTCACTTTAAAAACTGGCGGGAGCCTGATTCAGCTCAGAACTATGGCATACGGGGAGGAGTGGCTCTTGCTGAATTGAGCTGAATTGGGCTCCCACCAGTTTTTAAAATTACATTCCTTGCAGCTGCTCTGTGTCTGTGGAGAAAGCATGCTGGGTACAGAGACTCACCAGAAAGCTTACTGTGTAGTCTGGGCCCAAGGCTTTTGTGGGTCTTTTGTTTTATGTACTCTTAGCTGTTTGGGATACTGTTTCATTGCTGCCTACTGTATAAAGCTGTATGTCTTGAAAGATGTAATGAATGATGGTGACTGGGTATTGCTGTTCCAGAGAAGACAGTCATTCACTGAGTGTGTGTCATCAGAATTGATAAGAAATGTAGTTATGGTCCCCGCCTCCGCCCCACTTCCCACAATAATGCTTGTTTAACCCAAGGTGATGAGCCCTTTTTAAAAAAAAACGTGGAATATAAATGTTACAAAAATAATGAAGCGTGATGGAAAATTATTAACTACTTACAGTGTTATAAAACATGTAGGCGTTTAACTGCTCAGCAATTCTTTTTCTAGACTGCAGTACCTAAATTCTTGAAAGACATGAAGAAGGCTTGCCTCAGGTATCACAAGAAGAGATAAGCTGCTCCTTGAATTTAATCCAAACGGATGGTTTAAAGATGTGTTTTCTGTAGCTGCATGGATATTTAGCCACGATACATCACTGAATGACATCTGCCTCCTGGGCTGGGAATCATGAGCCACAGAAATACCCAGGCATATGATAATTGGAACATATTAAACTTTTTCTTTTTCATTTTCCACCTGTATGATGTGCTGACATCTTTTTTATCTTTACTTCCTTTGACACCTTACAAATAACACCACACCATATGAAGCATGTTGCTCATGGTTCTTACCCTCGTGTGCTAAGCATGGGGCCTCTGTCCACCTGGATTCCTCTTTAGACACCTGCATGGCCAAAGAGGGTTCTTTGTCTGCCAAACAGGCTACTGGATCCAAACACTGCTTCTTATATCCTCTCAATATTAGAAGTGGTTTTTCGGTGCCAAGTAGGTCCACTGCAACATTCCTTTGGGAGAAGAGCAATGCAAAGTCCTGATGTAGTCATTTACAGGGGCTTACGGGATCACAATTGATCCAGTTAATATAATTCCCCTTGTTCCACTGTTCTCATTTTATGGGACAAATAGCAATGTTGCTGTCTGCTATGGGAGGTTCTTGTAGTAAGGCAAGCTGCTTGCAAGTATTCCATGATCTGTCTCTCCCTCTGTCTTGACAACTGAGGAAGACATTTCTTGTGGCTCACTGCTGCCTATACAGGCTATGTTTTGCCCTTTCTTCTGTAACTCTATCTGATGTTTGATTTAAAGACTGCAGGTTTCAACTCAGGGTATGACACAGCACAATCCCCAATGCATGCATCTTACATTTCCCTATGTCTTTATTTTTTTTTTACTCTCGACACATGGCGTCACATTAACTGGGTTTAAGGAACCAGGAGCAGACTGCAGGATCAGTGGCTCCAGTTTATATCCTGTTTAAACTTTACTTACTGGCGAGAGAGGTTTATTGGGTTCCCCCTTAACTTCAGTGGAAAAGTAATGTTAAGGGGGAAATCACTTCCGTGAAGATGGCAAAAGCAAATTATAAATCCTCGATAACTGACTAGCAATCTTCCCTATTGATAGATGCCACATCTGTGACCGTTTACCTTCATGTCCCGTCTGTGTAGTATGACCAACCAAGTGGAAAGCAGCCCATTAATTGTGAGTTGTGGCCTGCCCAGTGCCTGCATTGTTGTGCAGACCCAGGCAGGCAACCAAAACCACAACATTTATTGAGCCCCTGACTGGTTCTCAAATGCGCAGGCCTGCTCTGTACTTTGCACATGGTTTTCTGCCAAAATTGATATTTGTACTGTTTATTAATAAACGTAGTAACGCATTCACCCCATGGCTTGCCTGTCAGATTTTTTCTTTCCTTAAGCATCATTCAGTGAGCTGCAAAGCTGAACAGACATTTCTTTACCAGCCCTGCAAGGAGCCCCTTCCTATCCATCTTGCAGCTATTTTTGAGCCCTTGTACACAACTGCATTCTTTCCGTTGCAAGCTCAGCCTAACAACCACATGCTTCAGTTTGTTTGCAACTCTCTAGAAAAGCAGCCCATGGAAAGACCTTGTACCTCATTGAGTCCTGTAGAAGCCTTTTAGGCTGTACAGTATCAGAGGGGCTATCCATCGTGTCTTCCCACACTCGCCCTGTTCTTTCAGCTCTGAAAATGTCCAGTGACCTGCTTGAGATTTAAAAGGTTGGCCAGATGTTTCCTGAGCACATGACAGCATTGCATTTCCCTTCGCACATCATCTTAGAAGAGGCAGAGCTATGACGAGTGCAGATTGGACATCATTTCAGAAAGCTGATGGCGGGGTTGGTGAGAGTCTTTCCGCCCCACTGCATATGCATGGGAAGATCCGGAAAGAGCAAATATGCAAATAACTTGGCATTAAATGAGAAGCTTATCTTGAAAATCAGAGAATGACAGATTGGTAAACAATAAAGGCTACTTGCAGAACTGATCCTTTTGTTCATTTGGCCATTACCTGCAATTCCAGTGAGAAGCCTACATGGGCTAGGATGTATCTTTAAGTTAAGAGAAGATCTAGTCTGATCTGTGTTGCTTCAACATTGCACATTAGGTGGGCCACTTCATGTGTTACATGGCAGGAAATTCTGGCTTGCCTGAATTCCCACTCAGCAGGGATCTGCAGGCATCCCTTGACAAGTATACCTGTACGACATTCATGCATATCTGTGATTTTGTTGCAGAATACATTATTTTGGGTATATGCTTAAAAGTTAAATACCTTTAGTGTTAGCCTGAAAAAAATATAACTGATATTTCATATGCGGCTTAATGTGGTGCCTTCCATGAAGATAGATTCAGGTGGGTAGCCATGTGGGCCTGAAACAAACTTTGTTGGTCTTAATGATGCCGCTGGACTCAAAATTTGTTCTGTTGCTTCAGACCCACACGACTACCCACCTGATATTTAATATGCTGTCACTGATCTCTCAGGCATACTCTGTTGCAAAGGGGTATCAAACATGCGGCCTAGGAGCTGGATCAGCCCCCCGGAGGGCTTCTATCAGGTCCACAGTGGAACTGGCTGTCTTCTGCTGCTTCTTCCAGTTCTGCTGCTGCTGCATCATCGTAGGTTTGCAGCTTACAGATACACACCTGAACAGCATACTCAAGATTGCAACAGCACAGACATTTTGATGCAATACTTCAGAGCAAGAGGTGTCTGTTATCAGACACTGTTAAATAAACAAAATATTGCAAGAGTGCTAATGTTTTAAGCATGTTTTTATTTTAAGCAGATAAAACCCTTTGTGTTTGTCTCCTTTATAAAGTTTATATTTCCACTACCTGGCATTACATTTTATGACACACATGGCCCGGCTCAACAGTTTGCAAGGTGGGTCCAAGGACCCCAGACCCAACCCATGATACTTGTCAAATCTGGGTTGGGAAATTCTTGGAGATTTTGGGGGTGGGGCCTGAGGACGGCAAGGTTTGGGGAGGGGAGGGAGCTCAATGGGATATGATGCCTCCAGCCTACAAACAGCCATTTTCTCCAGGGGAACTGATCTCTGTCATCTGGAGATCAGTTGTAATTCCAGGAGATCTCCAGGCTCCACCTGGAGGCTGGCAACCCTATGACTTGTTTGGCCCTGGGTGCAACTCAGAAGGTGTCCAGGAAGCTCAAACCGCTCAAGCTTCTTTTTGAGCCCCCCCCCCATTCCAAAATTTGGCAAAATCACAAGGCTGAAATTTCATGGGGGGAAGGGGGATAGAAAATGCCATTAACCTGAATGCGATCAGAGTCCAGTGCACTGGAGTAAAGCAGCCTCTAGGCCAAAGGCTTCACAATAAAGTTCAGCAGTGAGGAAAAGCAAGAGGAAGCTGCTGGGTGCTGGAATACAGTCGGCCAGAAAAGAGGATCAAAGTGGCAGGTGAGAGACTCAGTAGAGGGTAGCATCCAAGGGCACCATCAGCCACTCACCACTAGCAGAACCCTGCAGACTGGGATGACGGGGAGTTTGGGAAATGAACACTGTACGGACACAGCACATGGCTTTTATCTGAGAAGTCACACCGGCGATTGGTTTCCTTTTTCCTGATATTATACAAGGGTTGGAGGAAGCCCAGAAAATTTAAAAGGGGGGAGGCGGATGATCTGGCTAATAAGTAGTGGCATTTCTGCTAAATCATCCTATTGGTAGAGAGAAGGACAGTCAGCCAAAGGAAACGTGAGGTAATCCCTAATGATGAATAATTTCATGACAGTCCGGTTCACTGAGCATACTGAAATACACAATGAGGGAGGAAAGACAACGGGAATAGAAGAGAACCCTGCTTATTCCTCAGGTAACAGTGGGCTAGGAACAATGGCATCCCTGTGTCTCTTTTCTCATCCTCTTTTCTGGCCTATTATTCCCCAGTACCCAGCAGTTTCCCATAGACTTTCCTTACTGCTCAGTTTCATTGTCTATTTTATATGCCAGGTGTCACCTACCTCTGGTTTCACCGCATTCAGGGCCTGGCATTTTCTTCTAACTCTGCTTCAAATCAACAATGGTGCTGAATTTCAGAATGGGGTCCCGAAAGCCCTTTTTCCTCAGCCAAGGACATATACCAAGCAGCACCCTAACCTTCTCAGAGCTGTGGTGTGGACTTTGTGAAATTCCTCACCTCTGGTAGTGTCATAGAGGAGAAGTGCAACTGCTTAAAGAATCACTGCTGAAATATACTGGGTTCAAGATGCATATAGTGATCAGCTCATAGTTTATTAGTGAATCAGCTCAAACTTAAGACAACTCCGACAGGGCAGAAGCCCTGCTTATATGAGAGGAAATCAACACACCCCACATACACCCACTCCCCATGATAGGCTATTTACATTGCACCTCCTAATCAATAGGTCCATTCCAGGATCCTGGCTGCCTATTGTTCTGGTAACTCAAGCTAGTCAGTTTCCTGGTGCTGTCCTTGCTCAGTACATAACAACTGCCCAGGTTGATGTAAGGAAATAGTGCTGACCCATTAGGTTGAATTCTAAAGTTACTGACTAAGGGCAAATTATTCAGATATTGCACTGGGCTGTACGTCTATGCTTTGGAAGTTGACTCAGTTTCTGCAGCCATTTGATTAGCCATGTTGATCCATGTTATGTTTGGTGCTAGATTACTTTTAACACACTGCCCTTGGGGCTGTCCTTGAAGACTATTCAGAAACTTCAGTTGCAGTAAAATATGGCGCTTGTTTGGTCTCAGGATCTCCCAGTTGGGATCTCATTGCACCAGTCCTGAATTATCTTTACTGGCTGCCTATTTGTTTTGAGATCCAATTTAAGACGCTGCGGCTTATTCTTTAAAAACTTTCATGACCTGGGGCCTATATGGCCCTGTGTAGCAACTGCATTTCTCACAACAGGACCTCTTTATCAGTAACCTTGCTCTCAGTGATAGAGTCTCTAATGTCCTGATTCCTAGGTCTTTTCTGCTGCAGCCCTGCTGCTATGCAACAGCTTCCCAGAAGGGGTGAGTCAGGCATGTACCCTTAGAG